CCTACATGACTTCCTTCACCGGTGGCAAGACTTCTCCGTCGACATTGTCCACCTCTTCTACGATGGGATCCGGCGACTTGGTCTTGGTGTTAGCAGTCTGATACGCACTGGATATAGAAGGAGCGTCTCTATCCACCTGCAGGTCATTGTTACTGTCACTGGTGCTGGTAGACGAGATGAGACTGTCAGCTGGCGAGGTCTCGTCGTCCAGAAGACTTTGAGTGGAAGTCTCCAGTGCTGAGATGTCGAACTTGGACTCCTCGAGAGTGAGGGTCAGCGTGTGGTGGTCGTTGCTTTGGTTTGTGCATGTACTGGTTGTACTGTAGTTGGAGCTTGTCATTGAACCTGTATAAATAATATCAGATTTATCGATAGATCGGTAATTGCAAAAGGTGGGACGGACGAACCTTTTCATTCTCATTTGTCTTCACGTGGGGACGGGGTGACGGATGGGTATAATCCATAAGAAAATTAAAATATCTGTGTGGATCAAGAATCTTAACCTCTACAATTAGAACTATCTTAGTTACTGACCCATCATAGTCGCGCGGAGGGAGTCATGCTGGCTGAGGGTGAGGGACTTCATGAGCAGGGGGTGCGGCGGCTCGTCTATCACTATCGTCTTGGTGGGCACCTCCTGCACCTCCTGCACCTCCTTCTGGTTCTCCTTGGCCTCCAGCTTCGACTTCTCGTCCTCACAACTCGACACGCTCAGCGCCAGAGATACGTCGTCTTGAGATCTGAAATGTTACCATTTTTAGTTTGCTATTTTAAATTAGTAGGAGTTTTATATAATAATACATTGATATCGTTTTTGTTATTGAAACTTGGCGGGAGAGAGGACGAATAGGAAGAATAAACAATTCTTTTGTGTTATCCCTTTTTTTATCTGGTTAAGGAATACTTGTTTTTCTCTAACTTATTAAGTGACTGCGAATACCTTTTTAATACTTTTTTAAAATACAGTAACTGCCATTGTATGTGTTATAGCTGGTCATGTATTCATTGCTAGAGTACCTGGTAGCCATGGCCTCTCCGGCGGCGTGCGCCTGCCAGGCCGCGGTACCGAAGTGACTCTCCTCGCTCTTGCAGGACGGACTCGACTCTTTGCTGGACACCGCCGTCGGCGACACCACGCCGCTTGAGTTCGTAAACGACTTCTGGAAAAAATATTGACAACATTTAACTTTAAATAAAAATGATGTATATTCGCCTAAGTTCCATAGGAGTTGATAAAGCAGATGAGTGTAATAAATTGTGATGAACCAACCGTTTTGAAAACACGTTTTAATGTCACGTAAAGTCAATTAATGATTCCTTAAGGTGGATTTGTCATATAAAACCCCCACTAAGACACTGTCTCAGTTACTATTCTGAGATTCTAAGTGCAATCAATTCTATGCAGATTTTAAGTAGAAACTACAGAAAGACCTGCACGGAAACCACAGAAATATCAACTAACCTGTTTATCAAACTTTTCTGGTTGTGCTCTATCCATAACGAACTTCTCTTCATCTTTGTACTCGGTTTGAATCCTCGCAGGCCTGGTGCGTGTTCTGTAGCGTTCCAGCGTCGACATGGGAGAGTTCTGTCGCACTG